AACGAATAATTTTGTAGTGCCCCAATCTGATTTTGAACTTGCCAAGCTTCAGCGAAGGTGGTAAAGCTCGCCATCTAAAATTAAAAAAAAAAGAACAACTGCAAGGGCGTTCTTTTTTTAACTTGGTTTTCACCGTGTCTGTCTGAAATGGAGCTACAAAAGAGATCCTGGTAAAACTTTGTCAGAAACTTCACTGGTAAAAGTGACAGGCAGCTTGTTTTCCCAGTAAAAGGTATCTATTTAGTTACCGTTCTAATTTGCAGTTACGGTTATTGAGAAAGATTGTTCTAAAATTTATATTGAACTTCTATATTAAGAAAAAATTAGAGCAGTTTTTTCAGATGTGTAAAATTCTGCTTTGTCATAGGCAGTAATTTCTCTACTTTTGTGTTGGCATTTGATTCTTGTTGTTATAATGATTGATCTCAGTGATGTTGTTCATTCTTTGGCTCTAAGTGTCCTTTGTCAGCTCTAAGCCTTTCTCAGACCGTGTGGGTGTAAATGGGTGGTACTGAGCGCAAGTGGGTACTTGTTTAATTCAGCCTTTTCCTAATGTTAATCCGAACATTGATGTCAGGTTCATTCTACGTATTAGTGTGAAAAACAGATAGCTGATGGAAACACTTCTGTTTTAAGAAATGCGTGTGACAAAAGACCCAGGTTTGCCGAGGGCAAATTAAAGCTGAAGTAGCTGCTCTTGGCAGTGTTTTCTTAATTACGGTTGTCAGCTAACTTTCTTGGCTAATGGCACAGTATTTGTATGCTTGGAAGTAGACCTGGTATTTATTCAAGTAGCTTAACTTTAAAAGCTAAAATGGCTTTTTTTTGTTTCGCAAAAGGTGTGTCTATACCTGCTTGTTGCTTCGTAGATCCACTATAGATAGTGAAAATCAGATGATGGAATCTGCAGAATAGGTACAGACCCTTGAAAATACTCATGTTACTTTAAGCAACAATTCCATCAGTCTTGGCAGATCTTTAGAAAAAAGAAGTTTTTCTTCCCCCTCTTTCATGTTCAAAACAATAAAAAAATCTAAGTTTCTTTTCATGGTATCAAAGTAAGACTGTTACTACTATGAGAAGATTTTCTAGTATGTCATTGATTTATGTGTTATTAAAAATGTAGCAATTGAAAGTTAAAAGAATAAAACTATAGAAAAATGAATCCTTCAGATCTTCTTCTTATTACATAAAATCATTCCTAATCCTTATATCCATGGCTATATTCTTTAGAGAGAGACTTAGGTCTTGATATATTTGTGGTCATGTATCAGGAATGACAGCGCCAATTATACCCAGATTTAATTGATAACAAGGAAGGGACCTCTTTTTCACTGTCTGAATTGGCTACGAAAACTGTTTATACCTTTGCAATGCGTTTTTTGTGAAGAGGAGTTAACCTTCTTTTCCTAATTATGGTAGACAAGGCCTTAAAAGACCTTATTCCTCAGAGGACTGCACATTGGATACATTAGCGTGCGCTATCAACAAAGCTTTCCTTGTTGATGTTGTAAAGGGATTTCATTGTTAGGAAGTGAATGAATGGAAAGGATAAGCAGTAAGAGCTAAATTAGTATTCAAGGAATATTATGAATGCTACAGTAAAAGTAGCTAATGTTTCTAAGTGAAAGTTGAGATTTGAATCTTCTCAAATGTTTTTACGTGGTGACAGCACCAATAGGGTATAATTGAATTTCATTCTTAGCAAATATTAAAATAATTATTGGAGGAAACTCATTATGCAGTTTAAATTATAAAATTACAGTAAGGTTGTAGTCTAATACTTTACACACATAGCAATATGAAAGATAACACTAATACCCAAAACGTAAGTATTTTTTAACAAGATTACTGGCTACCAGTACAGACTTGCTGAGAGCTGTATGCCGTTTTCATTTGACTAAGTTGTAAGAAATTTTGATTTCTAAACCCATTTGATAAGAGTGTCATTAAACAAAAAAAGGCTTAGCATTTATTACTCTGCTGTATTTCCTACTTAGAAATGTAAAAAAAAAAAAAAAAAGTCTTCATTTGGCTCTCAATCCTTCCCTTTTCCTCCTGCTTTTTTCCCCTCCCGTTGCAGTAACTGCCCCTTATTGTGCCCGCCGTAGCGGGGACCACCGGCCCCCCCCGCCTCGGTCTGTCCTTCATCCACTGCGGGGCTCAGGACTCTTCTCTTCTTCCTCCTGCTGCCTGGCAAATGCTTCCTCTCCTCCCTTACTCCTTTCACCCCTGCTGCGATTCCCCTTTCTTTCTTTGTAGTCAAGGGTAGTATGTGCACCTAGCTCTCTATATGACTGCTGTTTCTATTTCTTCATCTCTGAAACGGGTCATTCAGCATGTCTTAAACCTCCTCCGGAGGATGGCCACAGCTGAGCGCAGTGGAGGCGTCAGCGGCTGGCAGCAGCCAATGGGACAAGCTCTAGGCAACTGCAGAGGTGCTTGAAGCTGGTGACTCCGCTAGCTGGTGAAAAGAGGCTCTGCGTGTCTGCATCATCTTCTTTCCCCCACCCCCTTCCTAAGTTTTGTCCAAGCAGGGTTGCTTCCATTGAGAATATATTTCCTAAACCCGATTAGCTGATGTGTTTCAGAGTTACTATGCTGAATACAGCACGGAGAAGAGAAACACACTTACCCAGTGTAGACCCTCACAAACTTGATCATATAGTTTCTGTGTGGTCACTCCCAGAGCTTTCCCCTTACTTTGCAGCAGTTATTCATGTCTTTGCTGCTCCAGCTTGCAGGCTGCTGCTTATCTCCTTCCTCATCCTCCTGGAAGTTGGCAAAAGACTCCTGCCTGATATGCTGCTGAAATAGCAGCGGCCTTCCTAGATGTGATGCTCGTATGGCCACCAGGAGATTGGAATGAGTGGAGCTGCTGTTAATCGAATACGGGGACATGGCTGACTTTAAAGCAGGCAACAATTGCAGAGAGCGTTTACAGTGAAAGTCATTGTACAGGGGCTTTCCCTTTTTTCTTCCAGATTCTGTTTTTCCCTGAGAAACAGCACCCATCTTTGGGAGCTCTTATACGCTCTGCCTGTCCCCTGAAGGTCAGTCAGACATGGATGGAAAGAAGGAAGACCTACAGCCAGACTCACTCCATCTGATCAGGCTTCTTGTTACGTAAGATATCTCCCCAGACAGAAAGCTGCTGCAGTGTGATTTAATGCCAGATTGAAAGGCACTGTGCAGAGGAGGTGATGTTTCAAAGCAGATGTTAAGCTGAGGTCTAAATCGCGTAATTTGCTAAATACCCATTCATTAGGAGCGCTCTACAAGAGCCAGCAGCTTTGAATTGTGGTGAAACCTCCCCAAGGTCTGGACTCTGCCTTGTTGGACACAGTGGCTTTTTTACTTGCTCTCCTAGACTGTTATTAGTCTGACTTCTTTTATCTCAAATGAGGCAAAACTGTGGATTTTTTACTTTCTTTGAGTTAGAAGATATCTATCTATGTGACTTTGTGTGTGTGTGTGTAAATACATGTACACACATTGCACAAAAATGTACTCAAACATAGTAAAGTAACAGGTGGTGCTGGCAGCACCTGTTTTTAGGGTCACTCAACACTCTAGTTATAAAACCCTAATTTTAGTTGCCTATAACTTTTGTCAAACTTAAACATTGGAGTTGAAATGTTCTTTGCCAGGTGTCTGCCTTAGGCTGATTGGGGGTTGGGGAGAGGAATTTAGCCGCAAAAATGTTACTCCCTGTTCAGAGAATAGAGACCAATGCACTAATTTGACCATACTGAAAAACAAGCTATAGCTAGTTGAGATGGTCCAGCCACTTCCCTGGTTTGAAGTTAAAAGTTGCAAGTGGAGCCCCTCTAGTGTTGGACATGTCTTTTGCCACCGTTATGGAAATTTGCTATATTACTGAGAACGCACTGCCATTTGGCCAAGAAATGGGCCTGTGAAGATGCTTGGTAGTGGTTTGTTAACAGCTGCCTACCAGGCTGCATCAGTATGTCCGTTCCTAAAGAGCAGCTCTGTGTTGGTGACCCTTCAGATGCAAAAGGCCTGTAAAGCAGCAGAGTACGAGCACAGACCAAAGCGGGCTTCAGCACCCAGTGGCATTAGTCCCCATAGCGAACGCAAGCAACTCTGCTTATGCTTGCCCAGCATGAGTAAATAGGAGGTAATGTCTGGCTTGAATCCAGAAGAACTTGTGATGAAGAAAGGTAGGAATGGGCTCCACGTGGTTAGAGTGAAGGATACAGGGTTGGGAGCTGCGTAAACAGAAATGATCCGGAGACAGACCTGTGCGAAGGGGCAGTAGACTGAGAAGTGGAAAACAGTTCCCTCTGCAATGTGACCACAGAATTGCTACAGTCCCATCTAACCAGCTGAAGCATTCCACGGATAAAATATGGCGCAGCTCCTCACGCTGGTGACTTGCACAGGAGTACGACCTTATACTGCCCCCAGCGACTTCCCTATCTGAGTGCAGACTTGAGCCTGCTGATGCTGATGAACACTTATGAGTTTGTATGGTTTCATCTGATGCTGTTTCAGGAGGAAGAGGTGTTCAGTTTACTTCTACTTAATAGAAACATGCCATTTTTCCTTCACTTTTTTTTTTGTATTTTTTAGCTTTTGCATACTCACCCTTTGTTTGGAGATGTATTATGTGTGCGTGCAAATCCCTTTGTAAACAATGCAGTTATTTTTCTTACTGCATAACCTGATGTGGGAATATAGAGCACATTTGTAGTCCATACTATTCAAACTCACACTAGCAAGATAGTCATAGATAATTGAGTGACTTGTGGTTTCACCTAGGTTGCGAGAACATTTGAACAGGCTGTTCATATTATTTTAAAGTGTTGTCCTTTCTTGATCATTGTGGGAATTAGAAACAACCTGCCCACTACGAAATATTCTGTTTCGTATTACTTGGTATTTTCCCATAAAAATCTGAAGAAATGCCACAGAACATGATCAAAGTTTAAAGTCAGAGTTTGTTATTCAATAATGATTTTTTTTTTTAATTATAGGTAAAGCTTCAGCCAAGAAACTGACAAAAAAGGTAAGCAAAATGTTCTTTTCGTTCTTCAAAAGAACTTGCATTCTTTCTGATACTCAACCAAGTGGACTCCTCTTTCAAAACTGATTTTATATTTTTTGGTTCTGTCTTTAAAGGACGTAGATGCTGCACTGGTAAACGTTATGAAAGCTAAACCTGGACCGACCTTTTTTAGAGAGCTTGGTGATAAAGGTAACAAGGCACACAGCACTGAAAAATAATCTTACTCTTGATCTCATTGTGTAGTTTGAAATGAATATATTTTTAAATAAGCTTCTATGAATTTGAATTCATTTGAATTGTATCTAGCCAGGAGTTGCCCCCTTGGCAAAGCTCTCAGTTACAGAAGGAGGAGTAAGGAGGCAGAGCTGGGCATTGAAAGCTCTCTGAGGTGCATGTAGGATGCAGGAAAGAAATCAGAAAATCTACTTCAAGTAGAGAAGGGCGCTGAAAGAGGCAGCAATCTATAGCATGTTGCTAAGAGGGTGACTTCAATACAAAATGCACTTTTGAGATTTGTTATTAGTAAACTGCTGTTTCATTATAGAATTGAAATGCACTGAAACTGAGACTAAAGATAAAATTTATATCTGGTTATGTAAAGTGGTGGTCCTGGTTCCAAGAGCAGGGAACTGATTCCTCCCTCTTCAAGGACCTCAGGGGCCTTCGCAGACCCAGGTGCTTGGGGTTGTTTCAGCCTGAAATCTGGCTGTGGAAGGGGAATCCAAACCTCTGGGAGCTATTGCTTGTATAACAACAGGGAATTAAAGAACAACAATAAACACTTCATTATGATAAATTAATGGATGGAGGCAAAAACAAGCAAGAGGCTCAAGGAAAACCAAATAAATGAGTAATTAACCATTTCATCAATAACAAAGACCGAAATCTCCAAACTAAGTTAGCTATGGAGAAAGTCCCACAGTCTCTATTCACAGACTTTCTGTTTCGTAGAGTTTGGTCTGAATCCCTTATCCTGTGGACTTTTCTGGAAAATAAAGGTGCCTTTCCACAGCTACCGTTCCTTGGCCGGCACAAGCCCTGGAGACCCGTGGGCATGGATGGTAGCTTGTGACAGGAGAGTAGCCCTCAATCTCAGTCCAGTGTTTAACCTGTCCCACAGCCTCATGGCCCCTTCCGTACAGGGCTCACATCTTGCAACGTGGTGCAGACATGGACAGGTCTTCAGCAAGCTGGCTTGCTTTCCTGTCCACTCCTGCCAAGCCCACAGTCTTTGTCCTTCACGGCTAGATGGAGCAGAAGGTTTCGGCTCTCTTTCAGTCTGTCTGTGCAGCGTTGAGGCTGCCGACATTCCCTCCTTGGGCGAAATACCCTGTCGACCTGTAATATCTCTGAATGTGTTGAACAGTTTTATCCGATCCTAGGAAAGGCTGGATTTTTTTGTTGAATGTTCACTCTCTTGTCTTTTCAAATTACTAATCATGATGTGCTTTCCCAGGGCAATTTTAGATAGGGTTTAAAGGATTCCCAGTCTGTAATTCTTAGATATTCTTTCCCTCTCACTGCTATTGTAAAGCCTCTCTTTTTGTAATGGTTTTGTAGTGGTTGCCGTTCTGTAGTGTGGATCTTCTGTTGTTTAAGATTGTGGGACCATGCACTCTGTCCTCCCAAAATCCAGCAGGAGTCTGAGGTGATGCAGGAACATTCGATGCAGTCACCCATGTGCGTCTGCAACACATGCAATTCCAACCGTTTTTGGTCATGACGCCTCCCTAGTGATTTTGATGCTTTTGTCTTAAGATCCATTATTACATTTAAAAGGCTATAAATGTTTATATATTTTAAATATGGCTTTTACAAGTACCAAAATAATGAATCTACACCTGTTCCACTGTTCAGCTGAGATTATTTTAACTACCATCAAATTGTTATTTAAATATTTAGTATAGAGAATGTTGTCATCCATCCAGTTTGTAAAACTTAAAGCTAGGGAATTCTGCCTTCTAGTGGGCAGTTTTAAAATTCATGTCATATTCTGCAAGTATATTTATGGTTTATTCAGCAATAAGAATATTTTATTGTCAACATTTGCCCTGAAGTTTGAGGACAGAGTTTTCCAGGAAGGGATAGGGATTAGATTACAATATTTTTGCTAGTGCTAAAGGCAGGTTAACCTTGGTTACAAGTGTACTGAATCATTCAACAGTATGTGCAGTTTTTATCTTTTTAATTTTGCTTGGACATAAATTAAACTTTCTTTCTTTTTTATTATTATTTGTTGCACCTTTTAAATGTAAAATTTGAGTAACTTCAGAATAAAAAAATTAACAAAGTATTTAACTTACTGTGTGCATAAGATAAATTGGACACATCTCACTAAAAGTAGCAAAAGGACAGTAAAATTATGAGAAGGATTTTCATGGAAATAAATCCACAGGTTAAAAAAATCTTATCTCACGTTCAGCCCAGGTATATGCTGATTTTGGTATGATCAATCTGCCAGAAAATGTCAAACATGCTGTGACTTTTCTGTAAGGCACTGAGACAAGGTTTGAAAAAACAATCAAGAGAATTTTTAACATCTTTTAACACTTTTTACCTTTTTACCTATTTCACTGTAGTGACTTCTCAATTAGCTTAAGATAATATGACCAAAATAGTCTGTCTCACCCTGTCATTTCTTCCAAGCCTCTCCTTTCCAGCCCTCTGCAATTAGAGTGAATAGTGCCATCACGCTTCTCACTTGGGCCCAGAAGCAGGGTATTGTCGTTAAATTGCTCTTTCCTTAGATCCTACTATCTCTGTATAATGCGTGCACATTCTTTCTGCAAAATTTTCGAAGATGTGGTCTTCTCCGTCCGCCCATATAGCTCAAACTCCCCAAGCTCTCTGCGTTTTGTATCTCAAGGATTACAACTTTATTTTCCCTCCAGCTTTAACAAGCATAATGTGCCTTGCTAATATACTTTCAAATAGTTTGATGAAGATGTTTTTCTTAGTTCACTCCTTTGAGTGCGTCATCTCTTCTATTATATCCCAGCACTAGGCTCTCCTTTCTCTGCCCTATCTGGCATAAGCTACCTGTCTTCCCTTTCCAGGTCATCAGGGATCTTTGTATTGGTCCTATTGCTGTCCAAGTTTGAGAGGTTTTTTTCGGTATAGATTTGCAAAGTTACCTCCTTGCCTAACTTTATGTTCTTTTTTTAAACATTCCTTTGCTGTGACACATACAAAACAAAATTAGAGAGAAGGCATCTTGGTCGCTTCTGTCACACTGTTCAGCTTGGTTTCTTTTCCTCCCCTGTTTTATCTTACACGCTTTTATAACTGAACATATAAGCTAAAAAAGTGGGGATAAGGATTCTTTTTCTGCCTGTTTGTGCATTTGTAGAAATCCTGGATACCTTGTCTAGGAATGCGTCTTCAAGTTTTACAGTAATGCAAATAATAATTTACATCTTTAATGACTATATTAGTCTGTTGATGTGACAATGATCCTGAAACTTGTAAGCAAAACTAATTGAGATAAAAGTGTTTTTATTTGCATAGTGTATTGTATGATTGTAGTATTGTGCTGACTTGCACATGATTTGCGTGCTGGATGGTAGGATGAATAACCCTACTTAAGGGAGAGGAAAACTGAAGCCCATAGAGCCACAGTGAAACAGCAGCAGGATCAGCGTTAGACCCCTCTTTAGATAGGACCTGTTCTCAGATATTCAGGCTGTTGCATTCAGCAATTTACTACTTCTAAACCCTGGCACTTAAAACAGTAAATGTTAAAGCACTATATGAAACCAAATACAAATGCTGTTGGCTCTATACGGTAATTAATCAGAAGTTAATTGTTTATCACTGAAGCTTAAATGGATTCCTTATCTGTCAGTTAACTAAATGTAAATTATAAAAAATTGTTTATCTTTGCACAGATAGGCATGTCTAAACTTCATCATTTTAAGCAGCTTCGATGTTATACAATGTTTAGTTCACAAATTAGAAGTAGCCCTGTTATTTCGAAAAGCAGTTTATAAAAAAGCTCTTTACATTTTTTTCTTCAAGCCTTATCGCAGGGCAGATGGTTCAGATTCTGTTGTTTAACCATCCTCGTTAGGCATCCTCTATCTTTAGCTTGTACGCTCTATTTTGACACTATCACGTCTTTGTGTTTGTTCAGGCTTTTCATTTGAGGCGGTATTTCAAAGGAAAACACTGGAATTTTCCTTCAAAAGGGGGGGGGAATACTTTCACCTTGTAGAAAGGACATGTTCCTATTTAAAAAAAAAAAAAAAGAGAGAGAGGCTCCTTTTGGCACGCGGCCCAGCAGTACTATCAGCGCGATCTAGCAGCTTGGCAGCTTTGCGTGTTGCCATGTTCCCCTGGAGAATTAGAGGGAAGCTCTTCTCCGCCTTCTCAAGGCTGCCAGGGGATGGAGTACTTTGATCCTTCAGGGTGACGTTAGAGTAGTTCTCCTCCCAGGTACTAAATGTGACAAAGCACATTTAATTTATTTGTCTTTTGTATAAACATTGAATGTTTTCAGTAAAAATCCAGAGATTTAGTGCAGGCCTTCTATTAGTACCAAATAAACCTAACTTTCTCGATTAGACGTGAACATTGCTGAGTCTCTTGATAGGGAATTTCACCTTCAGAAAGCTGAAAGCAGAAGACAAGACTTTATTAAATAACAATTAAAGACGCTTTCTTTAAGCTATTTAGTATGATGTTAATCTACTTTTTTCAGTTTAAAATATCTGATTTTTCAAGTCTTGCTATACATATATATATTATTTGCAAGTTATTTTTTACTATTTTATTTCAGGTTTGATCTCATATGCAGAGTACCTGTTTCTGCTGACAATCCTTACAAGTAAGTATTACATGTTTAAAGAGCCTATGCATAAATACTCAGCTACTCACAACTTTTCAGGAACTTTTTCTGATATTTTTAACTTCTAAATTTCTATATTATAGTCCAACTTAAAAAACTATTATATAGAGAGTGATAAGACATAAATATAAAGGGATATAACTTTAATTGATTGCAACTTAGTTTCATAGTGTCGTCACTGGTCAACAGTGTCACTTCAAAAATCTTGTCAAATCCTGCACCACAGGATCAGGAAAATCCTTCAAGAGACTTTGAGAGAGTGAGACATTGGAAGAGGGACCACGTAGTAAGGAGAAGAACAACAGTGGGGAAGATAAAGTAATGTGTCTTCTGGATAGTAGTTTTAGTCATGTGGGACAATGAAACGTTAACATTCTAGCTCATGCAATGATATAAAAAACTTTGCAGTGTGTGAAAGGTTGTTGCCTGTTATTTGTGTGTTTGGACATATAACGGATGATATACGTAGACAACAGACTTCTGCATCCTTTTGTTTGACTTTTTAAACAATTGTTTCATTTCTCGGTTCCTGTTGACTTATTTCCTCCAGGTATTTGGTATGTATTCCTTTCCCCCTCCTTTACCTCCTTCCTTTTTCTCTCCGGTGCTTTTTTTAAACCTTTTTTGTGTGGTAACTTCAGTAGCCAAACTCTCAGCCCTCCTGAGCTAAGAGGTGTGAAGCTCATGTTTTGTCATGGGCGCAGAGAAGAAAAGTTTGGGCAGCTTCTGTACAAGTCAGCCCTGAATCTATAGCCTGTTCTTGCAGCATTTATAGCATTCAGCTATAAAAGAGAGCATGGAAGAAGAGCGCAAGCTTTCAAAAGAAGCCAACTTGCTTTATCACTGACTAGTAGGTATTTTTTGGCTTGTGTGAGGCAGTAATCTTGGATCTTCTAAGTTTCCTCACCCATGCTTATTCTGCCCCTGCAGTCCATGCTTGCCACCTCCCTGTGCTGGTCTGATGAATTGCAGGTGAAGCTGGAGTATACAGAGATTTGGAGTAAGATGTGTACAAGAGCATTACACAGTGAGCTCTGTAACTAGTAGTGACACAGACCAGATGCACATCCATGTAACCCAGTCTCCTTTGACTGACTTGCACAGGTCTAACATTTCAAGCGAGTGACAAAACCAGGCATATTAAATTTCATGGTATCAATGGACGGAAGGAAGGAAGGAAGGAAACAGTTATTCTTGCCCCAAAAGACAGCTGAGCCTTAGATGCTGGAGCCTCATCACTTCCATGACTGCAAGGTCCATGTGAGGGGCTCAAACTGACAAATTATCCTTGCTGTAGAATGTCACCCTCTCCGGATGAAGCGCCAACAAGTGGTGCTGGATACCGTCTCCAGAGAGCTCGGAGAATATGTCCAACCTTAATGGATAATAGCCTTCAATATACAACTTTTGTACAATATAGATAGTCCTTTTACAACTTATGTCGCTTCTCAGTGGAACTGCATCAGTGCGTTTGACATGGCATGAAGGGTGATCCCTTAAGAAACTTCAGCTACTGCAGAATGTTATATAGCATATATAGCATTAATATAACATATTACCGTATGTTAATATAACATATTACCATTTACCATGTAAACATACTGTTTCCCAACCAGTAGTGATTGTCCAGGGCTGCAGATAACTGAACGTGGGTATACCACGTGTTCAAGTGTTTTTTACATCAGAAGCAAAATAAGAGTCTAGCCCAGTCCTAAAACTGATTAAAAATTGATTGTTGCAACAGAAAAATCCTTTTTAAAAAGAAAAAAAAGATTACCTCATTATAGCTTCAAAAAGATACTAATTAAAGTTGCAGAAATGGATGCTGTAGAATCTGTTTCTTTAAAAATCTGTGGTGGCTGAAAGTAAAATCATGCTGATTTATTGGCTGAAACGATTAGAGAATTGAAGCAATATCGCAGCAAGTTGGTTCACTTCTTCAAACTATCAAAGAATATTATGTTTCAGGGAATTTACATAGGAATGTTCTGAACTGGAAAACAAAGGGACCTTCTTGTGCAGGATAAAAATGCAGTGCTAATGTTACTGCTTTAGTTACACGAGGGGTTATCATACAGAGCGGCTTGAAAACTAATGTCAACAAGTGTTAGTACCTCTTTCTAGTACTTACCCCATACCAGTCAGCCCGCAGTTGCATAACCTATTTCTCTTTCTAGTGAGCATTACTGGGGGGCTTTCTTCAGAGAAGCTCTTAATATTTTAATGAGTTCTTCTAAATCACCAGCAGACCAATAAGCAAACACGAAAAGAATCACCCACTTGCCCGAGTCGCGGTTCTAGTACTTTTTTGACCAGACCGTGCTGCCTTGCATATAAAAGCAGTATCTGTGTAACAACGCTGAACTTGAAAAATGCATTTTTGTGGCAGACAAAGGCTTTATTTTGCCCACTGCAATCCCCCGTTCTCTGCGCTGGGTGCCTTGTGTCATGATTATCTTTCTTCTTTCAGTGCAGTATTGAATTTCATTTTCAGAAGTTGGTTAATGGAACTTCTGGTAAAGCCCTGCTTGGTGAATGAGCTCAGGAACTGCAGTTGTCACCTTTGCTAAAAGCTTGCTCCAATTAGCCAGTCACAAAAGTTGACAGTTTGGTAAAAGCAGGAACGGGTTGCAGGGGAAGCACCCTGCAGCCACAGCTAAGATGAAGCTCTTGTGTTCACATTTTGGAATTTTGCCTGATTCTAATTAAATACAAATATATCCGAGGTATTCTTTGAACCATACTTGTTTTATGAATGCATACCATTGGCGTTGCATCATATCAGATAAGTATGTCATCTCTGAACACTATAAGCAGCTTTAGGTCCTATATTTTCAGTAACAGCTTTCTTATCTGAAAATTTCAACACAGATGGTATAAATTACTATCAAATACATCAATTACTTTTATTCTCTAAATATGGTATAGGATAGGCTCTTCTTGCTTTTGTACCAGTAACACAAAATTTAGAATGTGGCATTTCCATGGAAATAAAGCCGGTTTAATTATTGTGACCCAGTTGCTGGCAAAGAGCTATGCTATGTAGATTGCAATGGTATTTGTAAAATATCATTACATCACAAAGTTACTTAACAGAGAACATTAATTGGCTGCTGAAGATGTAGCTGTTTCTAAAATGTAAATATAATACTTTGTTCAACCATCTTGTTGTTATCATTTAAAAAGAACAGGGTATTTCTTAAGTTGTTTCCTTTGCAGAAAGGCTCCATTTCTGCCACATTGTTTATTTAAAAAAAAAAAAAAAAAAGTACTTCGAGCAATACTGGACAGAACCAGAAGAAAGTACTTCCAAAATAAAAATACTGAGGGCATCATGTTCCGTAGAGATGCTGCTTTACTCCATGGTGGGTCCAAGATTGTTCTTGGAAATGTGAATGTTCTCTAGAGAAGATAACTCCACGGCTCTTATATGCATGCCTGGCTTGACTGCGTTGTGAAATTAGTTCACCCGCTCCAGAAATTACGGGGATAAGTGCTTGCTGCCGCAGTGAAGCGTGAATGCGTGTCAGCAGCACGCTACTCCTCTGTGGGCTTGCTAGTGAGCTAGGTCACCTCGTGTAAGTAAAGTAAGGTCAGGAAATTGTGGGAAAGAACTCAAAAGACCTCGTTTCTTATAGTGCCTGCAAGACACAAAACTCACCGAAATCTTGTGTTGAAAAGGAGCATCCACTTGGTGAAGGAAAAGCAATGTAAACTTTTGCAAAACTCCCTAAAAATTCAGCCTCATGGGAAGATGTATATATAAAAATCATGCTTTTGGCAAAAAGACCAGAAAGGGTAGTTGATTACTTTTCAGTAACGTTTGAGTACATTTTTGAGGGAGGAAGGGGAAGGGAGGCAAACAAAGCAAGCCGTGGGGCTGCCCGGCGCAGTGGGAGCTGAGAGAGCTGCCGTGAGGACAAGGTGAGTCCTTGGTTTCTGGAACAGCGAAGGCCGGAAACAGCGGTGTGCAGTCCTGCACGGCAGAGCGCTATGCTAGCTCTTCCAAGCGATTAGGGAAAAATTACCAGTTTCTCACGGCACTTCTCAGTTTTCTCAGCTGAAACGTAGCTCTAAGACACCTATTAGAGGTAGACTGCAGAAGTAGCCAGAGATGGAGAAATCTACAGGGAGTATCCGAGAAAGCCCAGGACAGTAACACATGCACCTTTTTCACAGTAGTTGAGAGCAAAGGTACATACATCCATGTGGTTAGGCACTGCTGGCATCTCTTGTTTTGCCTTTGCATTAAATATCCCCTAAGTAGTAGTAAAAAGGTGTTTTAAAATGTTTGCTTATAACTGTGTACGGTACGTATGCTTTACTGGAAGTATGACGTATGTGCAGAATCATGGAGAACTGAATCAGTAGGCAGTGTTCTTTTTATATTAAATATTTATGTGCTAGTGTGAGCGTGTGTGTCTGTGTGTATACAAAATAAAGTTTTTTTGCCCTTTGTTGCAGAACCACAGACTGGATTTCACATTGCTTTTAAAATGTTGGATATAGATGGCAATGAACAAGTTGAGAAGAAAGAATTTTTTAAGGTATGTGTACTTATGTGCATATTGATTTTTAAAGCATTTAGATAGTTCCATAGGTTATATTTGCTAAATGAAGAATGTGTTAAATTCTTCAAGGCTGTCTATCCATCCAGTCTGTGATCACATCCTTGCTAAAACAGTTTATAGGAAAGGAATGCAAAAAAAAAAGCATTGCTATAGAAATCGTTATCATATTTGAATCATCTTTTGTAAATGTTACTTTTGATTTGTACCTAAAAAATCTGCTGCTGGGAATATAGAAGTTGTTGTAGATCCCTTAATCCCTTGACCTAATTTAAATAATCGTCTGAAAAAATCGTCCTAAAATGAAAAGGAACGCTCCTACTTTGAAGATCTAGAGAGGAGCAGGAGTAATAATACAGTTAATAAAACTTTTAAGCATTTAGCAGGAAACTATTTACTTTTAATATTTCATGTCAAAAGTAGAAAGTAAAATTAACAAACAAAATTTTTAATAGACTCCCCTCTTCATTCAGCTCCTTCGTTCATCTCAGAGGTGACTAGAGAGAGGATTTTATAAGAAGCCGAAATGACCGCTGTCATATAGTGCAGATTTATTTTCTGTCACGAGGCTAATGTTAAAGAATGTCATTAATGTGACAGCTCTAGGGAACCAGTAGAATGTAAAGCTTGATAAAAATGAACCTGCTTGACTGAGGAGAATACCAAAGATTTGTATGTGTATTTTGGTAGCCTTAAACTTTGAATTAATAACACAGTAGTTGTTAGCATGTCTTTTGCACTGACAGCTCTTTTTTTCAGTGCATTGTGTCTTAGCAAGATTACAATTGATGAGTCATACTTGAAAATATTTTAAAATATTTTTAAACTGCTTTCAGACTTAGTAAAGGAAGACTTTCTGACTTTGGAAAACAATGCTTGAAATGAGACCATTTCCCAAGACAGTATTCCCAGAAGCCTCTAATCGAGCTGCAAGATAACTTACTCTCAGCATTTGCTGCATTAATTATTCTGCTGATTAAAAAGAATCGGTTTTTACTATACTTTTTAAACTTTTCTTTTTTTAACCTGTAAACCTGATAAAACCTGAGTGAATTGTTATCAGACAATAACAATCGTTGATCACTGAAACATGTCTGTTACAGTTGTATAGTTCATCTGGAAAATAGTATATTCTGGGGAGAATAAGTCCATGAAAGCAGCTGCGAGTGTTGCTGCCTGTAGCGTCACGACACCAAAATGCCATTTTAGCAGTGCTTCCTTTAAGGAGGTACTGTGTCAGTAAAACAACTAGAGAGAATCTTACAGCAGTATAGTACAACTGTCTTTGGGAAGCATACGTTAAACCACATAATTAATATTCATTTCCCATTTCAGTTAATTCTAATTGAATTAGCCAGTATTCGCAACAGCACGTCATCACAAGAGGAGGGAAAAAGCACAGATCACTAAAAAATAATTTGATTCCTGTAGAGCCAAGCAAAATAAATGAAAATTATTGAAGTTAGATACATTGTTACTTTCTTTGCATGTCCTTTATAAGTTATATTAATTAACTAAAGCAGAGTAGTTTAAAAAAAAAACTTATAAATTGCAGTCTCAACTCAAGAGAATTGTTAAATTCAAAGAAGTCCCACAGGGTTTGAGCAAGTCATGAGATGACTGTTTATTTAACATTTATGATAGGTGACTATTTTAAAGCGCAACTTGATTTTTTCAAGGTTACATTTAAAAATAGAGCTTTGGGAATGGAAGACTCTGGAAAAAAATGTGTGTTTTTCTCTTAATCTTTGTATGCTGTAGTTAGGTAATGCTTCGTAGGAAGTTTCTGTATATTTAATAAATCAGTAAATTGTCTGGCTAATCCGTCATTTGTCTTGTGACAGTTGACATCTCAGGAAAATGCAGCTGAACTGTTCTCCTGGGTTTGTAGTTTGTCTTGTCTGCTTTCACAACTCTGGCACACAGAGACAGTCTCGTTCGTCACGTGGTGGGTGGTTCTGTACAGTATCGCACAGACTGAGCCAGCAATTATATTATCTTCTCTTTTTCAATTAATGACTAAGAGACTGCGTCTTGGAAGATACCTTGGAATGTGACTGTTTTGAATTGGTTTTTCGGGAAGATTGATCACATTTAATGCAGTTTCTGTAATGTTATGAAAGAAGGAGAAAATATTCATTGTCTTCTTGACCCAGCTCCATTTAATTTCATAATTTTACCTGATTCCAGATCATCTGGGAGAAGTTTTTCCCACCACTTGAGAGATGAGCTTGTATTCTTAATGGAATCCGGCAGGAATGTCTTGGCCTAGCAGGTTTCCTCTTGTCCTTGTTCAAAACAAACGCTAGAAATTATTTCATAACTTGCCGCCTAGTCTTTAACTATCAGTTTGTGAGAAAGGCTTTAAGGACAGATGTCTTAGGCAAGACTTGTTTGCCGTCAAGCTTGAGATGCTCTTCAGCAGAGATTCCTGCCTACCCAGACTTCAGCAGGGCTTTTTTACTGTCCAGCAGAGCTCAGTTTGACGCAGACTCTCTGGCTGAATCTTAAAATGATAAATGAATCGGGGCCAGGGACCGTTCTCTGTCCCTGAGTACAATGACACAGATGAGACAAATCCACACTGCATAGACCTTGGCCCTGGATCTTTGATGGCCCTATGTGGTGTTCATTGACCATTAGACATAATCTTTTTTTTTTTGCCTTGAAAGGTCTGGAGGATAGCGTGAAGGCATGTGAGGGTGTTACAGCGTTTAAAGCTTATGGGGACGGGGTTGGAGGACTATGGAAAGAATTAAATATGGCTTAGCCTCACCCCTATTGCCGTTTAGCCTGGCATGAGCTATCCCCCGAAGCAGATCCCGGCACTGCAGGTGGAGTGCCGGATGGCCCAAGCCAAGAGCGCGCCAGGGAGCCGGCAGGCAGCAGCCCGGGGCTTGGCTCCCTGCTTGTCCCAGGTTGACTTGTCGTGTAAAGGCAGGACGAGACAGAGGCAGTGCGTGAGGGTGGTACAAGCACTTCAACACACTGGCAAAGGCGATGGTAGTACTCTCAAAAGAAAGTACAACTTTTGAGGCAATTTACGCTTGTGCTTTGTTCCTCCTTGATTTGGACACCACAGATGTGATCAAATAAATCAGCCTAAATATTTTTCTTTTCCTTTCTGATTGTGTTAATTTTTGTACTCTTTATCAGAAAGCTCTTGTTTGAACCATGTTTGAAACGCACAGTCTGGGAACATCTTTTCTCTTCCTTATTTTCTTTCCGCACTGTAATCTCAGCGCTCAATGTGAAGACTGGAAGCTGCCAGTGAGGCACAAGTCATATCATGTGAATCGTTCAAGAAAGGGAGAAGGGCAGCAGGCTGCCTCCACAACCCAAGTCCTTAGTGCTTGCAGCAGGTGGTGAAGGCAGGCTGTTCAGGTCTATTTAGACCAGCCGCTGAGGGCGTGAGATGCTTGATTTCCCAGTAGCTTCACTGCTCTTTGCTAACGTCAAGAACAGAGAACTTGAATGCAATTCCATGTTTTAAAGGGGAGAGTTTCTCCTGTCCTTCGTCGCCTTCCTGGGTGGATTTCTCTCTTTTCCGGCAGGGGTTAACGGTCTGTCCTTTCCCAGCCTGCTCTTGTTACCTCCTCCCTACCTTTTTTTGTTCAAGCTAGTCTCTTTTTAATTTCTCCTTCATCCATGTTTCAGTGGCAAATACCCAAAATACAAGCGACATCACACCTTATTTCAGGATTAGGCCCCAGAATCACAACAATCTCTACTTGGAGATAGACATCTACAAGGATTTCTTGCTTAGCTTTGCAACTTCAGGATGAAGTTGGTAGAAATGGCACATTCAGATGTTACTCACCATCCTCTAATCGGCCCCTGCCAGACTGCAAAGAGGTCTTCCTCTGAGACTTATCTGCATCTTTGTGAGGACAGGAAGATAATTCTGTAAACTTGATGCTTCCATGACGTCGACATGAAACTTGACAAGGGGGGCTTCCAGACACGTACATCCCTTGCTGAGGGATCTGACACTAGTGCACGTAATAATACGTGCCTATTAATCTCAGACCTGCCATCAAGAATAGGGCTACCAAAGGTCCAGAAATCCCCAATAAGGATCGGAATAAGGAATTCCCCCCAACTCTGATGAAAGATTTTTAAGGAAAATTAACAACCGTTCCATACTGTTGGGAATGGAGGTAGGGTAGCTCTGATCACACATAAAAAAGCTGTGTGATTTAATCTCTGTTAATAGACTGTTTTTGTACAGTTGTACAGCAGATAGCACAAAAAAAAATGTAGAGGTTCATCTAAGACTGAATGTACCAGCAGTCTGAACTGTCAGCAGCTCTAGAGGTGTAGAGAGCCTGTACAGTCCTAGAGCATGCACAAGCACTAGGGTCTCTTAAACAACTGAAAGATAAAATATCTTTTTTTTTTTTCCCCCCGCTAAGAAAGACATATCCTTTCTACCAGTTCTCGTCTCCTTCTGAAAACATTACTACTTTATATGTTTCTTTACCAAAGAGGCATCAGTTATGTATGATATGCCTCATTCTCTTCAAATTAGCCATTAGTGTAACAGTGGTAACAGATATAAATATTAAACACAGATGAATGCTACTATGGGATGAAAAGAATCATGGAGCTGTTAAATACTAGAGTCCGTTGCTGGAGGGCAGAATTCTTATCCCCCTGTGAGTAGTTGCCTCATTGTGCTGGAAAAAGTATTAAAACTACTGGAAATTATCATCATTTTTTTCCCAAGGAATAGTTTCAAGAATCATAAGGATTTATATACAGTCCAAGAAACAATAAGTTAGATCTTCCAGAACACTTACAAGAAAAATTATATTGTGTGTCTGGGTTCTTTAAAATTCTCTACAGATTTTCTAAAGAGTCCTTTAAAAGTAAAATCCGACAGAAAAATCATATTTTGTCTTTTCAATAAGATAAAAGGTTTGGAAAGTATTTGAAACTGTATTTTTCATGTGTGACCAAAAGATGGATTTTCCAGGTAAGAAAAGTGTAATTTTTCAGTGTGAATATGGATGAACGGTTGTGTTTTTATCCAGAGCTCTATATTGCTATTTTGCTATCAAGAAATATATAGTGCTATTCAGTTGTCCTTGAAATACTTGTTAATTGTTTTGTAATGATTAAAAATAAAAAGATTTTTGAGAAATTAGGAGGAACTAGTACTGTTTAATTGTTTTGTGGCAGATTTAGACTTTATTTTTGATAAGTACTGTCAAGGCATGCTATTTAAAAAATAAAAAATTGTTAGGAAGAGAAAGACTGAGACTGTAAAAAAAAAAAAAAAAAAAAGAAGAAGAAGAAGAAAAAAAGAAAAAGCAATTAGTCAAACTGTGAAGGCTGAGGGAAGACCTGTGGCAACATGAACAGTAAACAGAGTTCTTTCCTACCCACTGCTTACAAGCCCATATTGCTTCTCTCAACAATATGACAAAAAAAAAGAAAAAAAAAAAAAAAAGGTCCTAAGAACAGATTTGAAAAACCTACAAAGTAATGGCTATGTCCATTTGGTCGTGGAATTTCTTCCCCATTGTAATGGACGTTGTGAGAAATGAGTCAGAAATGTTTGAGAAGCAAACCAGCAGCTTCACAAACCCTGAGCTTTAAAAGCCTCTTTGCTAAAGACTTTGAATCCAGTGTGTTGTGTTTAGGTCCATATCTATACCTTAAATGTAATAAGTCCCTTGTTCTTTCATTTTTGCTGTCCATTTGAGGAGTCATACAAATATCTGTGAAAGGTGGGTATACCTTGTACTATGTTAAATCACTCATCCTTGTGACAATGTTGACTTCTTCAGCTAAAATACAGTCGTAAATAAAAGCTTGCAGCACAGGATGTTTCAGAAAGATATCCTTAAGTTGCTCATAATAAGCTACAAATCAGTGCACTCTCAGTATTTCCTCAACGCCTTATTTTGGAGAGTGGACGTTTAATCTTTAAATATCTAAGTCATTTCAATACTTCTTAAAATCTTGTTAGCTATCTCATTCAATATTAGTTTCTTTGTGCGGTGGAGGGGAAACTGAGACTGTATTCTGCTTATTGCCAGTTCTGAAAATATGTTTGCTTACTTGATTAAATAAGAATTTTTGTTAATTGTATAGTACATGATTTAAACAGACGTTTCTCATGTTTAGCAGATCTTGTCCCTTAAGAGCTATGTGAAGACGTTTAGGAGGACAGTGTGAAAATCACAGAATAACTATGTTATTCCCCAAATATTCCTAGATAAGACTACCTCTGAATTTCAAGATCTTATGGAGTGAATGCTGAGAGAAAAATCTTCTAATAGAAGAGAATCTCTTCTAAAAATAGAGTAAGCATTGGGAAGCAAGTAGAGAGACAGTTTGATATGCAATGCTTGGCTGTATTAACCAGACTAGATTAGACATTCCTAGGGAAAAGTGTGCCTCAAATAGCAAAATATCCTTAAGTATGCAAATACTTTGTCAAGACTAGAGAAACTTGCAGAAACATATTGAGTTTATAGTTAAGAAAAGGTGAAATTAATACAAGTTTCTGAAAAAGGAGACTCTCGTAAGACCAAACTTACAGTTTTCTTGTGTTTTATCATGTTTAAACACATACAGCTTCAGAGAATCATTGGGAAGCAAGATGACTTGAAAACAGCTGGAAATGAAACAATATTCCAGGTATGAAATAGACATACGTTTATTATTTTCTTTTGGAAGGCGCTGTCGTATTTTCTGTGAAGTTTGTTATTTTTTCAGAGCTTTTAGATGGATATGTAAGTATCAGTGCTGGTGTTTCAATTAAATGAAAGAGCATGATATGTCAACTCTGCTTTCCAGCTGGGGAATAAAAATGTTCTTCACTTCTGAATCTCCTGATGAAATTGTGTAATTAATGTATTTTACTACTGCGTAGTCACTTCATAAGTTTCTGTAAGCCTCTGTTTCAAAAAATAACCTGAATTCAGCCACCCAAGACGTATAAATGAGCAATACTTTGTGCTAAAACTATTTGGTTGCTGTGGACCTGTAAGCACATCAATTATCGATATACTGTTTATGGCACAGAGGCAAAAGGTGACCATACCACCACTCTGTGAAGGATAAGATGGATTGACTGTAGTCACAGGGTGGAGTGTGATGGTGTGCTCCCCCCCACCCGACCTCTCCATAAACAGCGCACGGGCAGGGGCTAATTGAGCACGCACCGAGTAAAATGCACCTAGTCTGCAGATATGACTATGAGTCAGTCATCTTACCCCATAAACAGGGGGCAGCCCAGAGCCCCTGGAGCGTTCCTGCATGGCAGGAGGTTGCACAGCAGAATCTCCCCGTGAGCAGGGTCACCTCTCAGGGTTACTCCTTGAGGTCGAGAGATTCCTTACCCGCAACAGATCCTCGGTAAGTGACTAATAGCGCACTGAAACTTTGCAAATTTTGCAAAGTTATATTTCTGATTTATTGTGCACATAATCCTTAGACATAAACCGTTGACGAAGTCTGGGACTAAGATTGGATCCAGCTGCACCCAGACTCTTCTGAGAAGGAGTTTGGAAAGCAAGGGGGTCCATTCTGAACCTCGTGACTCAACAGGAGGGTCTGCTTGACACTTTTATCTGACCCTGTCCTCCACGCAGTAAATAACCAAGCGAAATTGCCATAGACCCTTGTTAAATCGCTGTCTTATTTACAAATGAACTTTGTTAAATCACTATTTTACCTCAATAAAACATCTTGCTGCTTCCTTCTTACAAGTGAGGTGCATCACTCCTCACTCATCCGTGACAAATTGGTAGATTTATGAAAAACTCAGGAACACTGAGTTGCCCCGTGGAAAAAGACAACTTTCCAAATAAAAATTGATACCTTAAACTTGATACCTTTAGGCAATTGCTGCTGGATGCAGTAGCTGTTATATTCTGTATCTGTTTTGAGTTGGTTTGCACTGTAATCGCTGTTTTTGAGGTGACAAAGGCAAGGATTACTTTAGTTGGGTCTACTTCCAAAAAGAAAAGGCTTAAATCTAGACTGGAGTAAGAACCTTAGAATACAATCTTCCAGTTGTATTCCAAGTTTCGCTGGACTGCAGATCATTAGCAAGTGGCAAATCTATATCCTCAATGAAAGGAAGCAGGTAAATCCTGCTCTCTTCTGGCTGTTTTCCTGCAAATGCCAGCAGTGAAAGCTACCTCCAGGGAGTCTCTGCCAGCTCTCACCTCTCCTTCAGCCTATACCAACGCAGAGACAAGCTAGTCCACAGCGTGGACCATTAGGTTGGAAGAGACTGAAAAATGGAGAGGGAGAGTCCTTAGTGCACTGAAAACACCTCAGAAGAAGCTGGTAAATCAGGGGACGGGGGAAGAATATTAGCTTCATCTATGACTACGAGATGGTATGCCTGTATCGGCAGCACTGCTTCTGTTGCATCCTTAAATTGGTGCAGTTCAAGGTTGTTTTTCCCACCACGAATTTGCTTCCAGTCTTAAACTGAAAACGGATGAGTAGGCAAGTGGCAGAGACTGCTAATGTTGGAAGCATTCAATAAGAAACATGTACAAGGTGTTGCTATATAAACCAACCATGCATCAGCAGCATCTCCAAAGAGTAGGTCCAGCTCTTGTTCTTTAGTTTTTCACCAACCTAGGGGAAAAAATGGAAGTGGCAGTATTACTAGCAGCTTTAATATTTACTAGGCATAAACAAAAATTGGCTTTTATTGCATGAAGGTGCTGCTCTCCCACTACGCACACAGAGATCTGTTGAAATTCCTTTGAGTGAGTAACAGCCATCTCCTTTTTTGAATCTTTACATCAATCACCAGGTTAAAATAGCTAGGATTAGTAGGGTTGTCTGTTCTTCAAAACCAATCTCAAATGAGACTTAACTGCCACAGCAGTGAAAGGAAAAGGATCTTTATTCTGCGTGAATGCACACTATGGTATAATATTTCCTGAGAAACTTTGATACAGCTGGACAGTTTTAGCCATAAACACATAAGCTTATTGGAAGCTAATTAAATACCTGAGCCTGAATTTTGTTTTTGTCTTATTTTAAATTTCATCTTCAGAATTCTCTTTTGAAAAATCTGAAATTATTTTAACCAGAAAATATTATTTAATACAATTCTTAGATTACAAATAGAAGTATCGTCTATGCCAAAAAAAAAAAGAATTAAATAATTGAGGGAGTACAACTGTCTTGAAATTCTTCTGCTTTCTGTGTTTCTATTTCGCAAAGTCCAAATTATGTTTTTCTTTTTTCTTCTTTTTTTTTACTTTTTGCTTTGTTACCTATGGCTGACTCTCACTAAAGAAGTTCTTTATAAGCAGTGACTGACTATATACAATGTAGAGTCAGTGCATATGGTTTTTTTCCTCTTATTTCTTAATGCTTACAGCAGTCATAGTAATACTTTCAAGCAAAACAGGTAAAAAGTCAACACACACAAATATGGCTTTTAAATTGGCAGTATTCTTTGAAAGCTGGGGTATTGCAACAGGAGCTGGTGGTTAGGATAGTTCTTCACTTGTCCAGCACTGTCACAGTTTGCATAGGAGTTTGATCTGTCAAAGAAATCGCAAAATTGTCTCTGTTAGCAGATGAAAAAATGCCTCTCACCCATGAAAATAAGTTTTAGGTGTGTAACTTTATTTAACCACTACGTTAAATATATTTATATTATATTATATTTATATTATATCTAACCTGGTGGTTAAATATAATCCATGTATGCTCCCTGTCAAGTGTGTAGACCAGTGTGTACCTCTCATTCATTTACAGTTTGGAGATGCCAGTCAATATTAGTAGAAATATTGTGTTCAGAAAAGGAAAACAAGTTCTTGTTTGCTGTGCTCCTAGGATCCTTATATGTCTAACTTTTTTACTGACACTTTAAGTTATTTGCCTGAAATTCAAAATTTTGCTACTCAGTAATGGCCCTCAAACAGGACTGCCGTGAACTCAGTTGTCCAAATAAATATGGGATTTCATTTCAGGGATTTTCTTTTTCCCATTTTAGTATTGATGCTGAAAGAAAAGCCAGAAAAATCTGCCTAGCCTTACTTAACCAGTTGAGTCTTTCAGGAAGTTCCCGCGCTGATGTTTGCAGAGCAGGCGGTGGGATTTACCCGTAGCAGAGGCATGTACACGGCGAAGGAGAGGTGCAGGCAGACTTACAAGACCGAGAGCCTGAGTCTTTCTAACTAGACTGGAGAAAATGGTGCAGGAGGCAACTGAGGCAGCAGCTGACTCACCTCCTGCATCTTCCCCCTAGGCCAAAGGAAATGCTGCGTCTGGCTTCCCGGTACAGCCCGTTTCACGGGAGACATCCCGCTGAGCATTTGCGCGTGCTTTGCAGCAGGGGGAAGGGCAGTCTCTTTGCCTGCAGTAGCTGTAGGATATTAAAGAAAATATTAAAGAAAATGAGCTACAAGAGTTTGGTATATTTTGAAAAAGGTGTTGCCCAGTTAACAGCCCTAGTTGCTTCTTCTCCTCGCGGCCCCTCAGCCCTTAAAAGGGCAGCTGTAACAGTGTTACGTGTGTTGGCATTCTGGTAGTGAAACCAAGGCTAATGTTTGCAGATATCTAGAGTACGGCCCAGTCCTCTTGACCGAGGACTTTGCTCATGGGCCTTTCAATTGAGATTAATGAGTTAACAAGTAGTTTCGATACCTCTAATTTGTGTAATGGCTAAAGTTAGAAATTAATTTTAGTTACTATTAGGAAAGGAATGACTCTCAATGCAGAATGTTCTATATTTGTTCTTAAAATGGCATTCATGTTGGGAAATATTATGTGCTATGTCTAGTTTCCGAATGATTAAGCATATGGTTCTGAATTCCACAATGAGCACGTTTTCATGCAAAGTATCTCATTTGCATGTTTTGTAAAACATTTAACTAGTACTTGGGGACACAGCTGTTAATCTCTTTTAAAAAAACAGAAGCTTTGGAACTAAAGTTCAGTCTGACTATACACAGTATACTTTTAGACGCACCCATGGATATTTTCCTATTGATTATACATCGGTTGTTTTAGCTTATCTTTTTGGCAGGGGGGAGGGAGGAATCCTGAGATCGCTGAATAACATTAGTCATTCATAAATTTGTCACCACTTACCCAATCAGCAGCAGTTTTATACTTGGACGTGAAGCCTTCAGATATTCTAGTATTGCGATGCATCTTCTCAGCCACAAGGACTGTGCGGGCCATCTTAACCTGTCTGTCTGTATTGAATTTCTAATGAATTTAAAGCTTTATATCTATCGCTTCAAAGTCCGCAGTGCCCTAGGCCCAGAATAGCTAAAGACTTCCTAAACTGAAGGGAGGAAGGGAAGAAATCTCTGCAGCACATAGGATTTTCCAAGAGTCTGATCCAAGACTAAAAGGAATACTCCCCCCAAGTCCTATCATAAATCTTGTCACCTTTCACGTCAGGTGTAAGACACATTTCTTTGACCTGTCTTCTCCAACGTAAACATGTATGATTTGTATCAGCAGGTTAACGGTGAATTCTGCTGAAAAGCTTTCAAATACTTTAAACTAAGGAGTATTGCTACGTTCCTGCATGCTTTAAAGGAAGCCCTCCGGGCAGGTAAACCCCATGAAGGTGCAAGGCTCTGGGGTAGTTAAAGACAGATCTTCCCCACCAGGTGTGGCATCAAAATGTTAAGCTATTAAAAAACAGCTGGGTCATTGTTTACCTCACAAACAAGGGAACGATTTAATTTTTCCAAGTGGTCTCATGACATTGTAGCCTCAAGAGAAACACAGAAACACCTTTCTGACAGCTTCCTAGGTACCTATTCTGCAAGTACATTTGAATTTGACTTTGCTAGTGAAACTCTCTCGCAGGAGGGGTGTATCTGGAACCCCACTGTGGTTGCAGTCACTTTGCTTTCCACAGATGTGTAAGACAAGGTTACCCCTTTAATCTCTGCTACTTAACCTAGTCTGAAACCCTTTAAATTACATAGCTAGAGAAGCTAGATAGCAGTGGGGCCTTGTGACAGGCCAAGGAAGGTGCACAGTCTGGCCATACGCTAACAGCTCTAGTCCGTGATTCAGAACTGTAATAATCTCCTCCTAATCTCTCAATTCTCAGTAATGCCTTTGGTTATAAAATTATGAGGAATGAACTGGAAATGCTGCACATAAGTAAATATATGTAGTAGGCGTTCTGTGATCATAGAAGCTTCAGAGAGCCGCCAAACGTGGAGTACGTGGGAACACTTACGCACAGAGAGATGGGGAAATTGGTCGCAGTCAATCTAGAATCTGTTTTAGCCCAGCGAGCAAAGAGATTTAAGCAGGCTGAGAATGCTTATGGTTTGCCTTTGAGGCCAAATTAACATTAATCAAAAGAATGTGGTTCTTAGAGCATCGTATCTCCTGCAGGGGTTCCTCGTTATGAATTCTCTCCTTCTTACGGAAATTAATATTTTTAAACCATGATGTGATAGAGAGACAGATTGAATTTTTGTGAGGGGCTGTGCCCAGCTGAGTATGGAAACTGCTTTCCCCAGCTGCCAGCATCGTACCACTCGGATCGCCTCCAGCTTCACAGTGCACAGTGCCATTCCCTGACTGCTTGGCACAGCGAGACTGGGTCCCTCTAAACCTGCTGGCAACAAAACTAGTTTGAACCTGTTCCTATTTTTATCGTAAGCATCTCCCAAAACATTTGCTCCCAGATAAGCTTTTGGCTTATTTGGCTGGAAACCTTTTTTTTATGCTGTATGTCCTCACGAACTGATGCCGAACTGTGGGTGACATGCTGAAACATTAATGTGACAAGAATGAAGTTACATTTTCTGCCTTGCTAAAAGCACTAACAGTACAACCTACCAATTCCATGGCTTAGTTGTCGCTAAAGAACAACTAATCCTTAGACAGTGGGAATGCCAGATACAGAATGATATATGCCAGATATATGACTGCTAGATATAGATTGTTAATTGTTTGGAAAATTGTCCATCAGGTCTCTTCTCGGGTATTGTCTGTTATATACACAGTTTAGCCTGTCTGTATCAGATCTGATATATTCTTGAAGCCTACCTAGTGAGAAGGTGCCTTGCAGAACATTAAAACGTTGGAATAGATTTATGGTATTAAAGCTGATACACATCATAAAATTTTATGCTGTTCATTCTGGGGTCCTCTTTAAGCTGTCTGGCCTTTGCCGAAAAGACTGGTGCTGGAGACCTGCGTCTCCCAGTCTCACTAGTTTGCCTGTGCGGTTACAATTCTTTTGACTAGCTGTACCTAGTAGGCTTAATATCCTAATGGATATATCTTCAGAAACTACTTCCCAGAACTGAGTTTTAGGATATATCCCAACATCTTGGAGACTCTCCAAATTCACAGAAAGCTTCATTCTCTCGAGCAGTGCTTGAGGCTAAGCTGCTGAGATTGAAGACTAGATTGCCTGCAGGGACAGCAGCCTGACCTAGCAGTTGAAAAACAAGTAACATTTCAGAGAAGAGGCCTCTAAGAAAAATTAGGAAAGATTTGATGTCAACTCTAGAAGGATTTGGGCCATCATTAGCAGATAGAAGCTAAGATATTTTTCTCCTTGACTCTCCTTTCTTTTCTGTCCCACTTTTTCATTTACTTACTCTCTTATCTTAACCAAAAAAAAAAAATTTGAATCCAAAGTATGTGTTATTTTTAAATTTTCTACCAAAGACAAGACATTGCACAGTGAACATCATCTTCCAGGAAGCAAGTAAGAGAACAAGGAACGTACTACAGAGTTTAATAATTTCCAGTCATGCCTCAAGTGAATTCTGCAAGGAAAGGTGGTAAGAGCCTAGAGACAATCAGTCTATTAACAGCTCAGATGTGTTTTGAGAATCAGTTAGGTATGTTATTCTGAAAATTGCATCTCACTATGTGATAAGTTTCTTCTCCGTGGCACTTGTTGCTGCTTGCTGCAGTATCAGGTCCTGAATGTCAGAAGCTCGGTGGAGAGCTACGGGATTAGGTCTGTGCCTCTGACTCAGTGTTTGCAGCACGCAGCTTCTATTCTAACAGTCTATGTAATATAGTAAAGAAAAACATGTGTTATCTGATGTTGTTTAAAACAGCGGAATTGCATAGTTTAGCAATTCGTGGTGCTTTTGAAAAGTGTACCAGCAATTCAAACTACTCTAGAAACGTAAGCTTATATTTATAATGTGTACACACATGTTCATTAGTTCATGTAGACTTGTGTGTCAGCAGAGCTTCGTCTTTGGGATTCTTTATCTGAACCAGTGGACCCAGGACACATCTGAGCTCCCCAGTCTAGACAAATGTACGCACCCCAACCCATGCTCTTATCAGAGTAAGACTCAAAACTTTGAGCAGAGCACTATCCCTTCCCTGCTCTGTGCCTGAGCTTCCTTTCTGTAGGCTCAGAAAAGGACTATGGGGCACCTGCCAAGGGCTTAAGCCGCAAGACACACCAGAGTACAAAATTTCACTAAATTTACGTGGTGGCTCTGTGACTGAAAGTTGCAGTCTGGTCTTTTTTAGAGCTCTAAGATTAGGTTACCATTTCACTCTCATTGCCAAGAGAGACATTCCAAGTGTAAGTTATTCTTTTGCATAAGCTCAGGAGGGCAAGGTGTTGGAAATATTAATTGAGCTCTTGCTATCTTCTAACAAAGATTTGTCGTGTTGGTACTAATTTATACAGTTCAGCAGCAAAAGCTCCTAATGATTCCGTGGACAACAAGGAATTATGTACTAACATGTACTTTAATTTAAGAGCATTAACCCTAGTGAAAGCATTTTTTTTTTGAAATTTTACCCTCAAGCTGTAGTCTCCCTGGTTTCCTATTGCATATTCTGTTTTAAAGAAATGTACTGTTTTGTAGTTTTAAAATACATTTAACTCTAACATAGTGCTTGGACATCTGCCAGTTCCACCTTGGAATTTCAAGTGATAAAGAGGGTAACCAACAAGTAGGTGCATATTTGTTGTAAATCCAGGGATAGGCTTTGTCATCTTAGATAAGATGAGATAGGTATTGTTTGTATGTCTTCTAGCTTATAACTACAGAAACCTGAATAGAAGAAAAAACTTCTTCTGTTGCAGATTTAGTGTTCAAAATTAGTTAAACCTTGTTTTTCAGCATGCTTTCAATGCAGCACTGATTTCAATATGGAGTCACAGTTAAATGTGAGTTACTGGAAGCATTAAATCATGTAATCAGGAGTTCAACTCTAAAAGTTACTTCAGCAAATTATTTCTTGCATTTTTCAAGTCTCCTTTAAACATGTAAACCAAAAGCACAAAAAGCAGATGAGAAATTTACTACAGTGAAAAATGTGTTGATTTTCCTCTTTTTCTTCTTTCCAAGCCTTGCATTCTGACATAAATAGTTTGGGTTTGACTTTCAAATAAGCATACAGGAATGCTTATGCATCAGTCTTCATAGTAATCTGAACTGTTTAAACTTTAGAAGCAGGGACTTTGTGGGTATTTCAGTATTCTTTGCCTACAGATAAATGTTAAAAGTTCAATAAGGGCAGTTTGCATATGACTTGAAAAGTTTTTTCTAGGTTCATTCATACTTACTTCATATCACTGGCATTTAGTGAATTGTGACTTGCCGTAGAAGTGAGGAATGTTACCTCTTTATAAAATACTGTGTCGCATATGCAGTAAGCATGAAACACACAGTGGACTAATGGGACCTGTTATTGATGATGCTGAAAGCTAAATAACCATTAGTATTAAATCTTATGAATAGACTCTTGTCTTTCATCTTACCTCTTCAGCCAGATAAAAGACACAGAGGCTATTTAGATGTCGTAAGAATAGTTTGTTGAAATCCCTCCAGACTTACAAAAAAAAACTCTCTTCATGTTTCTTAGTGTTTTGTTGCGTTCAAAGAAATGTCACTATGCTAGTGCTGAAAGAAGAACAAAACAGATATCCAGCATTATGTGTGGTTTTAGGCTTGTTAAAGATGCTGTTGAGTTGAAACCATGTGCATCCTTTTTCTGCAGAACTTTTTATATCAGATTAAATAAAATATAGAAAAATTAAGAAAATTGAAATTTGGCAAGAAGTCATATAAAACATAGTATGATAGAACACTGTGAATGTATTTTTCTGCTTTTGTTCTGTAGACTAAGTCGTGAATGTGCTTACAGCCGTGCAAACGGCTGGAACAAATCTGAAAGATCTGACTAAAACACTTTTCTTTACAAAGATGTTAACTTTTTAACCTGTGTTCAGCTAAGCATAAAGCTTTTTAAAGATGTAACTTGCAATCTTCTAAGTTCTAATAAAATACACAAAAGGTAATTGTAAATGTACTCAGTCTTTGTATAGGATATATTAGAAGCAGAACATATAATGCATTGTTTCCAGTTCACATGGAAGAAATATTTAGCTCTGAGATTTGTATGCGATAGCTTTGAGAACAGTAATTAAATTACAATGCTATCTTGTAAAATTCTAGTTCAAAATATTGCAAGATTTATGTTGAATAGATAGTAATCATTGAATGCATAGTAATTAATCAGTTTTTTGTTTTATAGGGAGCAGAATTGGAAGGCTCTGGTGTTAATACCATGTTGCTGGTACATTTCTTTGGAAGAGAAGGAAAGGAAAAACTTCGCTATTCTGAGTTTTTCAGGTATTTTTTTAAGTACACAAGCTTTAACAGCAACCAGTCGTGTTCCTATGCCCTCTGTTTTGTGCTAACACAGGGATTAATCTGACCTCACACTGAGTTGGTTCAGAAAATTAAGCAGGTAGGCAAGCAGGAGGCTATTCATGATTTTGCATGGTTAACTTTCTAGTTTAGCTCCTTGAGACTGCTGTCGGCAGGAGAAGCTGAGCACCATGATGAGCTCAAAAGCAGCAGTGGGGCTGGAGGCCGTGAGGGTTGGGGCTACCATTCTTGACAGCTCTTTGATGGTGTAGCTTCAGGCAGTATGACTCAGGAGCGTTTTTCTTCGTGGTCAAATCATCAAAACAGTGACTGCTAATCAATAAAAAACATTTAAGTTGAGACCTACCCCCTGCTCCTCCCTCCCCCCAGCTCTTATGGTAGGATACAGGCAACTTCTCTCCTCACTTCAGATTCCAACTTCTGTTCAGACTTTAACTGTGCCTTTTCTTTTAGCCTTTGAACTACTTTTGCAATAGGACTATGCAAGTACTTCGTGGCACTCAAGTCAGAACTCAAATTAAGCCAGAAGGTAAACACCACATCAGACTGAAACTGCAGTGAAATACTGAGTGACTGTTGCTCCCTGAAACATGTGACAGTCAATCTCGTACTGTTTCATTTGGAAAATCAGAAGTTAATAAAAAGTTCTAAGTCTGGTATAGAGAGTCATGCAGTTTATACGTCGTATACATTTCAGAAAGATGCTGTTATGCGTGTTCTGCATCAGAGTATGGAGTTTGCTTTGGTTGCTTTCAGCTTGAAAGCCCTGTGGTGTATCAGCTGTTGGTGTTTTAACTGGATGAGATTCTTTCTTCCAATTTGTAATTCAATTAGTAACCATGACCACCATCTACACAGCATCACAGCTTAAGTGCTTAAAACCCTCTGTTCCTTGGGAGATCAGTTTCTCCCATGTCAACTCAGGACACCACATCTTCCCATGTGAACTTGAGCCCGGAATCCCCATGCGTAGTCTTTCATTGAGATAAATGGAAGCTAAGCGCCTAAATACTTGTGTGCATCTTGACACCTGTCTTGTAACAGAACATCAAGAGAAGATTACCTATGTTACTCTTACTTTTTCTACAAACATAATCAGTTGTTTGTGGTCTGCAAAAATAAATCAGGATAATATCTGTATTTCAATGTATATTCAGAAGCAGGGGAATCGGAGTCAGCTCTTTTAAAAACGGATGTTGTTGCAATCAGTAGAGGTTTGGGGAAAGCCAGAATTAAAAAGGAAGAGTGTCAGTTTTCCTAACACTCCAGAGTGCCCCACGCCACTGACTTGGGCACACACCAGTCTTCAAATAAACAACCTTTCTCTTCTGAAGACTTCAACTCAATAGAAATCTAAAAGAGAAAGAAAAATTTAAGATGCCTACAGCTCTATTCTCTATACCACAGGTCCTCTAAATGAAACAAAAGACAGAGAGCACCAGTAAAAGGTTGTGTTTGCATATACAGTGTAAACGAGAATGCCTCAGGTTTTAGATAAAATCCTGCGTTGACCCAGTGAGGCATGACATTGATAAAACTATGTACGTAATACATTCAGAACATGCAGGTTAAAGACCTTTGCCTACCACACAGATAGAGGCCTGTAATCAAAATCAAACTCCCACATCTTGCTCTTAAATTTTGTGGGATAAGTGTAAAGTTTAATGCAGGTAATTTTTCAGCAGTGGCAGTTATTTTTCATGGAGTTGGAATGTGCCTCTTTTTCACTGCATATACGCTCCATGTCAGTCACAACATGACAGCCAAGTTTGTTTAACATACAGAAAGGTGAATAAAAGGATCAGTGTCTTTTTAACCTGTGCGAAGATATCACTTTTCACATGATTTTATTTGCAAGTAAATCAAGCACATCATTTCTGGGTTCCTATTGTTCAGGGAAAATGTGATTTCTGTCTGATGGCCCCTCATAACATTTTACCTTACACGGGAAGCTATTGTTGGCTGTTTGATCAAAGTGCCATGCTGTTTTTACAAGAGATGACTGATGAGCTGTACAGACATAGATCATTGTCAAAAGCACAAAATAATGATGGTAAATGCTTTTATCATTTTCCAAGTTCTTGCTTAGAAAGCCTTTCATTGATCAGCGTAGTACCTATTAGAAAGTAGGGATGATTAAATTTGATTAGGACACACTAAAACTTGTCACGTTACTTAAATATACAGATAGCACTGTGCTGTAGAGTCCTTGAAACTTTACAAAAAAAAAATCCCAGGAATGCTTTCTTTGTGAAATTTCATTGTACTTATAAGGGAATTCAGAAAGCAGAGACTAATGTTCTCACCTCATTACTTACATACATATTTTACTCATGCTCCATTTTCAGTTTCTCTGGCCGACTTTAAAATAGCCTTTTATAAGTGTGTAACCATCTGTATCTTCATGTACAACAATGATGTCCAACTCTTTTAGCCCACAGTGTAATGATTTAAAAAATGTCAGAGGGCCACACTCAGTATATCAGGGCAAATAATTTGCCCTTTTCTGCTTTCTTTGCATTCAGATAGCACAAAGAAGACAGAAACCATCTACAACTCCTCAGGCAATGCAGAGCTGCTCTAAGCCAGCTCCTGTGCCTCCTTACCACAGCCCCAAAGACAGGGTGCATGTTGACTAGAGAGAGGGAAAATGTTTAAGCACACAGTGCTCCTGCCATCTCCACCTGGCACACGGTTCTTTGGAGGTCGTTGTAGATGGTGCACACAAGGACAGTCCCCAAGCTGCTTTTTACTGGACATAAAAAATGAGACCATGAAACAGGAAAAGAAAAAAAAAAAGGAAAAAAAGTAGTCTTTCTTGGGCTGCTGTACGCATGGAAGTAGAGAAGTAATCTTTTCATAGGCATTTTGTGACACCAGTCAATCTCTTTTCTCGATATCCTTCAGAATATTCATGGTCAGAATAGCACTGAAAGCCACTCCTTTTCTCTGTTGAGCAGCAGGCGTCTAGTGGTCAGATTCCTGCTTCATTCTGCAGCCTGTGCCTGCCCACAGGTTGTGGAAGCAATCAAGGAAGCACAATCCTATGCCTTTCCTAGAGGAACAAGGAGGTTTCAGAGGTCTTATAGCTTAAGGTCTTAATCTTCTTGATTCGAGGAAGATGTGTTCAGCTCAAAACTGCTACATAATTTCTTGCCATCTGTATTATCCTTAATGTCACCATTCAGAATTTCAGAAGCAACAGCTGGTTTCACTGGCAAAAGTTAGGCAGTGTTAAACTGAATTATTCTGGAGTAAGTTTACATACATCACTGGTAAAGGTGGGTGCCTCCTAGTCAAACACAACTGGAACGATTATTCTTCTGCATCAGTTTAAGATGGTATAAAGCAACATGCACCAAGCCTAAAATGATGTAACCGAGAAGGATTAATTCAATACGAGAAGCTGTAAGCAGGTCAGACTTTCTTCTCGGAAGACTTGAAAAATTTCCAGTTTCCGATGACCACTACCGAGTTTTACATCTCAGCAATAACGTTAGTCTCTAATACAAAGCCCCATCTTACAGAATGTCAGATATCAGATGTGAAGCCAGAAAGTCATTGGAATGCCAGGCTTTTTTTCATGAGTGTTAGTTGCACCTATTTTTTGAGACAAAGAAACCATTTGGGGGCTTTTCCTTCCAAAAACGTTTCACTTGTGCTTTGAATTTTAGCCGTGCTGTATGTATTCTTTTTTTTTCTTTCTGGGTAGAAAACTATTTCGTTTTCTAGGTGTAGCAAGTATTTCTTCTTAACAGCCACTTTTTTTTCTGAAAAAGTCCCTTCCTGATCTTATTTAAGCATGTCTAATCCCAAACAAAAGAGGAGATAATAATTTACTCCTGAAAGAGGTTACGACTGCTATGATTTTTTTTTTGTTGTAATCTGTCCCCAAACAAGCTTAAATCTCTCACAATCCACTTGAAGGAAAGAGGGGAAAAAAAAAAAAAAAAGGAAAACTGCACAGTATGGAAATAATAATACAAAAAACTGCAATAGCTGTATTTTTTTCTGGTTTACACATGGCTTACAAATATTATTTTCTGGTATGTTTAAAAAATGGGCATCTTTCAAATCCATTTTACAGTGTTTTCTTACCTGGTTTGTTGCTTCAAAACTTCATATACGTTAATAGAGTTGTGCACCAGCAATATTCTTTATTCATTTTCTTCTTTATTTTTTTGCTTTAACTCAAAGACCACAAACTGTACAAGCAGACACAAAACATGCTTTTGCGTTACCTGTCCTGTTCTGCTCTTTCAGTACTCTGAAATTCCTTGTTAAATTTCATTTGAAGCCTTTCATGTAAGAAATCAGAATGATCTAGAACGGACCACACTGCTAGTGCTGAAATTTGGTGCTTTTCTGTGTTTATGCTGATGCACGGATGCAGGATCTCTTCCAAGGAGCCTCATCGAGCAGTAACGCCAGCAGTACTTTTGCTGCGGTGATAGTTTGTACATTTGTGGTGCTTTTCATCTAGGGATTTAGAAGTGCTTTGCAAAAACAGATTTATGGCTGCCCCCGTACTTGTCTGTGTGTACATACACACACAGATGTGTATGTGTATGTGTATGTACATAAACCCCCCTCACACTTAGAGATTACATCACTACTACCAGGATCAGACAGTGAGGAAGTGGAAGAGATGGGAGCAAAATCTGGCCTCATGATTATATATTCCCATCACAACTGCATTTGAAAATGTTCAAAATAGCTAGTAATAAGGTTAAGAAGAATCTATTATTTCTCCCGTTCCTATATGCCTTTCAGAGGAGTAGATGGATTAGTTTTTACAGAATGTTTATAAATGAAAATGAGTAGTCTTGTTATGTTTGATTTGGAAACATTTGAGGGCATTAAAGTGCTTTTTTGCTGTAATTCGGAAAGCGGTGAGATTCAAGAACTGTCTTACCGCTTGCAAAACTGAATTTACAAGCATGCATCTAAGGTTATGTAAAGGTTGCGGTCAAGCCCATATTAGATTTTCTATATTCTGTTTTGGAAAATCGTATTTGCAAAGAAGCAGCCTTGCAGCTGGTTTGTAGCAGTCCT